GCGGTGGCGATGGCCACCCAGGACCCGTCCACCAGCTCGGCCAGCACGACGGTGGTGGGCGGGTCGACGGGCGGTGGGCTGGAGGTGAGGTTTTGACTAGGTTCTGTGGGCCCCCCTGTCGTCGGCGCCGGGTGGCCATCACGTGCGCCCTCCCCGGCCAGCAACGGGCTCCAGGGCTCGATGCGCAGGCTGACGTGGCGCTCCCTCCCGCGGCTGAAGGCCACGGTGCAGGGGAAGCTGGGCTGCGCGGCGTCCTCGGCCGGGCTGCGCAGGACCACGCCCTCACGCACGCCGCCCCTCGCTCCGCCGCCCGCCGCCTGCGGGCCCGCCACGGGGCAGTCGACGGGCACGCCGCCGCGCGTCAGCGCAGCCACCGCGCAGGCCACCGCGCAGGACGCCGACGCGGCGCGCGCCGCGGCCGCCGCCGCGGCCGCCAGCGCCGCGGCGGCGCCCACGCTCGACGGTGTTGCCCCCGCCGTACCCCCGACCGCCGCCGCCCAGCGCGCCGTCTCCTCGCCCAGCGCCTGCGCCCAGGTGGCCACCGCGGTGTGCAGGCTGCCGGAGCCGGTGCGCAGGCAGGCCGCCCGTGCGCGCGGCCACTCGGCCGCCACCAGCTCAGCCAGCGCGTCGCCCCAGGGGCCGTGCGCCGCGGCGTGCAGCGCCACGCGCGCCGTGCGCAGCGCAGCATCCAGCAGGTCCTGCTGGTGCGGCGTCAGCGCCGCGCCTGGCGGGGCGGGAGGAGTGCCGGGGTCGGGCTGGTTGTTGCTGAGGTTGTGATGGTATCGACAGGAGTGCACATGGGATGGCCTCGTACTTCGCCTTGAGGCATGCCCAATTCTTCATCATGTCACGGGTGCTGTCATATCCAGACCAACCTTCACGCAGCACAGCCCCAGCAGATCCATCAGAACCAATCCCATCCTCCGAGCACATGCCACCCTCCGCTCCACCTCGGACTTCCCCCACCCTAACCCACACTCCTACCTGAGTCGCTGTCGGAGAGGAGCTGGGGCAGGAGCCAGGAAAGCGTAGCCAGGGCCAGTGGCGGCGTGCTGGCATGGCCCAGCTGACTCAGCAGCGCTTCCACAACCTCGGCCTGCGCCGCATCCCCCTTTGCCGAGTCCGTGAGAGGCGGGAGGGGCAGGGGGGAGGCCGACGGGCGGGCCATCCTCTGCGCATGGCCCGCGCCCGAGCCGGCTGCGGCGGACTGCGCCGACTCGAGGGACGCCTGGCGGCTGGCTGGGGCGCTGCCGGACTGCTGCCGGGCGGGTGGCCCGCCGCTGCTGCTGGCGACCCGGTCCAAGCCGGTCGTTGACGAGTCGCGCGTCAGCGCCGTCAGCAGCTCCAGCTGCCGTTTTCGGCGCCGCGGCAGCAGGCCTGGTGAGGTGGAAACCCGGATACTTAGCGTCAGCCGCTCGAGTTGGCCTCCATCGTCGGCCGAGGCCAGGCGGCACCGATGCCTCCCTGCCAACTCTCGTGCATCATTGACCCAGCCTTAAGAGCAAGCTGAAAACCAGGCACCCTCACCCATCCAGCGATTCCCTCTCCCACTCTAGCAAACAAGCCAGTCCAACCGCCATGTGCCCTTTACACCCCAAAAGAAGATTCCTCCACCACGCACCAATGCCCTCTAGCAGGCCCTCGTCCAGGGTGCGGGAGCGGAGCAGGGCGGCCAGCAGGCGCGCCGCGGCCGCCGCGAGCTGTGGCTCGCCGCCGTGCAGCATGCCCAGCAGGGCACCACGGTACGCCGCGGGCTCATACTGCAGCAGCGCCCGCAGGTGGGCCGGCAGCGGCTGCTGCTGGCCGCCGACCGGCGGCGCCGAATGGTGCTGCGCCAGCGCCGCGCCGGGCGCGCGCGCGGCACCCAGCAGCGCCCCCACCAGCGCCGACAGGAAGGGGGTGTCCAGCACCGCGAAGAGCAGGCGCTCGAGGACGTAAAGGGAGGCCAGGGGTCCGACCACGCCCCTCTGCAGCGGCGCGGGCGGCGCGGGACGCGCATGCGCTCCACCCACCCCGCCCGTCCCCTGCCCCTGCTGATCTTGGTCCGCCTGGTGCGCCAGGGTAGCGATGTGCGCGACCGCCACGTCGTCCTGGATGAGGGGCCAGAAGAGCACCGGCCCCACCAGCACCGACCAGAGGCGGTCGAGGAGCAGGGCGCTGAGGGGCTCCACGCCCGTGGCCAGGATGTCGTTGCAGTAGGACAGCATGTCCTCGATCTCGGCCAGGCAGGCGGCCAGCGCGCCAGCCGCGGCGGGGCTGGCGGCCTCCGCGGCGGCCAGCCGCCGGTCCAGCTCCCCGCACTGCTCCGCCAGGTAGGTGGCCAGGCTGTCCAGGTAGCCGGCCGCGGGCGGGGCGGTGAGGTAGGCATGCAGGGCGGGGAGGGGGATGGCGTACACGTTCAGGGTCAGGGTTTTGACCGCGGCGCGGACCATACCGTCGCGGTGGTTGATGAACTTCACCGCCTCGCTGTAGAGGGGGAGGGAGGCGGGCGTCCCGGGGCCCCCCGCCTGGAAGAAGAACTGGACAGTGGCCTCGTTCAGTCGCAGGCTGATGGTCTTCAGCAGGTTGATGTAGTACCCCAGCACCTCGTCGTCCTCGAAGTCAAAGGCCATGCCCACGATGTCGTTGATGTGGTTGTTGCTGAACAGGTAGTACACCGTCTGCTGCGTGCGCACGTTCTGCAGCAGGATGGACAGCGTCTGCAGCACCTGCTGGGCCACGCCGCCGCGGCGGTTGGCGCGCTGCTGCAGGATTTGGGCAAAGTGGGCCAGCACGTTGTTGGTCAGGAAGTAGTCCACCATGGAGGGGTCGTTCTGGTCACCCCTGAGGTAATGGGAGGAGGGGGGTTGGGGGAGCAAAGGGGGGCATGGGAGTGCAGGGTCGAGGTCTGTGAAAGACACAGGCACTCCACAGGCACCAGCGGCATAGGGTAACAATCAGCATGGGGACCCCTCGTTCTGTCACATCCACTCCAAGAGCTATCTCCCACACCATCGCACCATATGACCAGCTCGGAGATGGACCGCAGGGTCTCCACCACCGTGTCGCGGTTGCCATCGTTCACCACGGCGTTCCGCAGCAGGACGGAGTGCAGGTGGCTCAGCTCCTCGAGGGAGAAGCGGTCCCGGGGCGGAGGGCTGAACAGGGAGCTCCAGAACCCCCTGTGCTCCCCCGCCATGCCAGGTGTGAGGCACGGGCAGAGGTGCAGCACCCGAGTGCCGCAAGTGATCCCCGCACTGGCGTGGCTCAGTGCCGGGGCATGCGCCTCGGCGTCATCCTGGGATCAGGCTGCACTGCCCTATCATTGTGAGGTGAACATGAAGTTCTGAGATGGTTGTGCGAGGCCTCATCGGGGGTTCCTGTTGATGGCCTAGGGAAGCTCGCGCCTCACGACGGTCGGCCCGCTGCCGAGGGCCTCAAGCAGGGGTCAACTTGTCGTGATGCAGTCGTGATCCCTGCACCTGACCCTGTTCTGAAAAGGTGATGATGGTGCATCAGATGCCTTGAACTGAAGAATTAAATATACAACATGCGATGTACCCAATCAGGTGAATGTCATACATTCAGATCACGTTCGGCGCTCTCCTTGGCCGCCTGGCCTCGTCGCCGGCGCCTCCAGCGCCGCAGCGCCAGCATGGCCCTCGGCTTCCACCACCTCCTGGTGGCCAGGAGGAGGACAGCGCCCCCCAGGAGGGGCAGGCCTCCCCGCTCCAGGTCTAGGAAAGGGTTGGAGGCCACTGCCTCCCACCCCGACACCAGGCCCTGCCACCATGCCTGGTCGTACATGCTGGCATCCCCCAGGAAGGAGCGCGGGTACACCTGCTCGATTCGGGTTGGGTGCGCTGTCATGGTGTGCGTCATCAGGGTGTGTTGATCTGCAAGGCACTGAGTGGTGGCTAGTGCTGTTTCGGAGTTGTCCACTGGGAGCAGTGAGGAGTGTCCTGAGGTGCACGCCCACCTTGCAGATGACACCACACCTACTCGCTCCCCTGCCTTGGGAGATTCAGGCATGCATTACCGCCCCCTACCAAAAGAGTCTGCAGGCAGAAGCAGCCCTCAACCCCTGCACCTCGGGCATGGCCACCAAACACTCCCCGCTGCCCAGCACACCTGGAAGAACACAAACGCGCCCCAGGCGACGCTCTCCCCCAGCTGCACACGGACTACGAATCTGAAGAGGAGGATGCCGGCGATGCTGCAGAGGGTCAGGCCGTTGAGTAGCCTGGCGTTGTAGTCCGCCAGGAAGCGGGTGTGCTCCCTCTCCCAGGCCTTTGCCAGGCGCTCTGTGGGGAGGGGTGGGTTTGCTTTATACTTTGTCGAGAGCGAGGGTGGACTGGGCGTCATGAGGCGGAGATCGGGGAACAGATTATGCATACATCCCGACTCACACGTCAGCCTTTCCCTGCACTCCACCCCCTCCCTCACGTGCAAATTCACAACACAATCCACGCGCCTGAGTGCGCGGTGCGTGCGGGCCCGACGCAGGCCCGAGCGAACCTGGCCAGGCACTCCTCGTGCCGGCGCCGGAAGCGGCGCGCGGCGGGCAGACGCTGCCGCGCCTCCGCCTCCAGCGCGTCCTCGCACGCCTCCTCGGCGGCGTCGCAGGCGCGCGCCGAGGCCGCCTCGTTGGCGTCGCCGCGAGCGCCGGCCTCGCGGTCCAGCTCTCGGGCCAGGCTGGCCTCCAGCTCAGCGGTGCCGGCGCCGAAGCGCTCGGCGCCAAACTTGCGCAGCGCGGCGGCGCGCGCCGCCGCCACCGCCGCGCCCAGCGCCTCGTCGGACGCGGGCAGCGCCAGCTTGCCCAGGCTGCAGTGTATTTGTTGGCGGTGAGGCTTGGAGGGGGTTTCAAGTAGAGGGTTGTGGCAAGCCTGTCCTCATCAGGTCCCCCTAACCTGACTGTGCCCGGAGCCACATGCACCATGTGCGCCCGGCAAGTGGCTGGGCACCACCCCCCCCCCCCCGCCCTCTGCAACCTGCCTACTTCGCCCCGCCTTTGACACTCGCCCTGTCATCGTCAATCTCGCCCCCTCCCTCAATCACAAAATACACACACACATCCCCCCCAACCTGTCTACAAAGAGGCCCTTGCAGGCCTGGACCAGCTCGCGGTTGAAGTACTCCACCAGCGAGCCCGCGGTGGGGATCTCGCGCGAGTTCAGGGCCGCCACCACGTCGCGGATGAGCCGCGCCAGCGCCGCGCCGTCCAGCGCGCGGCCGCGCACCAACTTGGGCGCGGCGGCGGCGGCCACGCGCGCCTCCAGCGCGGCGCGCGCCGTGCGGTACCCCGGCGCCAGCTCCTCGTCGGCCAGGCCGCAGAGCGCGGTGCGGTCCAGGTGGGGCTGCGGCAGGCCCAGCGCCGAGGAGTTGCGGGCGAGCGCGTGCAGCGAGACGCGGATGCGGTTGAGCTGCGTCAGCCCCGGGTCGCGCGCCGGGTTGGGCACGGGGGCCAGCGCCGCCGCTAGCGTCTCCTCCAGGCTGTCGCCCTGGAGAAAGTCGCGCTGGATGAGCCAGAGCATGGCCCCCGGCTCCAGGGCCGTCGGGGGAGAGGCCAAACCGCCGGGCTCCCGGCCAGCCGGGTCGGCGTAGAAGGCCTTGGCCAGCTCCACGGCAAAGGACAGGCGCTCCAGGTCCGACTCGCGGATGGCCTCCGGCAGGTTGTACACCAGCACGGCGCTGATAACTGTGGAAAGCGCGAATATGCGGTCGTCGTACACGTCGGCCTTGCCGGTGCTCTCGAAGCCCTCCGTGTCGAAGAAGAGCAGCTGGGGAGCAGGAGAGGGTGGGGGGTTGGTGGGTGGGTGCTTGTGGGTGGATGGGGAGAGGAGTGCGGGAGGCAGATGGATGCAGAAGAAACAGGTGTGTTTGTGAGGGGCGAGATTGTACACCCAGCGCAGGAGTAGCTGGGGGTAGAAGTAGCTGGGGTAGAAGCTGGTCAAAGCGCCTGGCAGCCTCTCGGACTTGTCAACCTTCTCAGTAGGATCAGATCTACCCACACCCATGTCAAGCAGGGACTGAAGCTCGCCCATACACCCCCTCCCCACCTGCACTGGATCGCCCTTTGCGTCCAGCCGCTCTGCTGGCTCGCCCCACATCCACACGCCCTTGGTCTGGGTGTGCCTGCTGTGACCCACACCAAAGCCTTGATCTGGAAGGTGTGAAGGAGGGTGGCACGGTTCTAGACCTGCCTCCACCTACCTACCAGATGAGGCACACAGTGCATCACACTCAGATCCTGAGCCAGACCATCAACAGCGCAGCGTACCGCAGGGCACTCCCATCAGCTGATTGAGGAGGAAAGACTTCCCGGAGCGGTAGGGCCCGATCACCACGACTGGGGATACTGGACCCTGGATGCCCTCCAGCACCGCCAGGCCAGTCTCATCCAGCTCCAGCTTGGAGTGATCAGCAACAGGCCTCACGACCGCAAAGCTGCACCGGGCAAAGTATGGTTGATCTGTCTACCAAACAAGTTGAAGCATCCTCACGTGCACCATATGGGTGATTGGAGGGTCCACCGACCACATCACCGCACGCCACCACTCACGGCTTGTTCCTGCCCTGCTCGGCAACAACGACGACAGGTAGACTCGCATGCAGGATCAGGGCGAGCAAGCATAGCCAAGCTCGCAAACTTGGCATGCTAGTAAGCAATTCGAGCCGTCGATCCGGCTCAGATCGAACGATCACGGAGCCACTCGGGTCACAGTCGACATGGCGCAACCACCCACTTCCCAGGGGGAAGGGGCACGTAAGCGGGAAAGACCTCCACCAGACAGCTCAAAGATGGAGGTAAGTCTCTCTTGAGTTTATCCTGTGGCATCCGTGGGGCACCTGTTCCTTCCGCATATCTGTCTCGTGCCCTCGTCCTCAGCGCGCGCTTGGCATTCCGATTGGGGTACGGCAAATCAGAGTGATATGTTGGACGCATTCCCAGGACAGGAGAGCGAATGCAACAGACACTTACTGAGTCTGTAATCACACCAGACATTTTCAACACAGATACTGCTGCTCCCGAGCTCTCTCCGTGTACCCGCCCCCAAGGCGCCATGGTGGACGCGGCACCCACCCTCGTGGAGGAAGTCTCTGCCCCAGAGCCTTCCGTGGAGGCAGAGGCCGCAGCGCCCGAGCAGTCGAAGAGCGCTAAGCGCCTGGCTAAGAAGAAGGCCGCAGCAGAGAACGCTGCAGCCAACGACGGGGCCGGGGCTGAGGGCGCCGAGGTCCCACAGCCCGGGACGCCCCCAGAGGAGGAGGAGGGTGCAGGGGCTGCCGACAGCGACGAGGAGCCAGAGACCCCCTCGGCAGGGGATGTGGTGACCAAGAAGAAGAAGAAGAAGAGTGAGTTGTCAGAGCTGGGTGGTAATGAGTCAGGATGTTGCACTGGTGACTCGTCATATGCATGTAAGCTGCCATGCATACAGACCGGCACATGTGGTGTATCGCGATGTTTCGCCTCCCTCCTTTCAGACAAGAAGAAGAAGGCCGGGGCTAGTGCGGGGGCCGGCGCTGGGGAAGGAGCCGCAGCGCCCACTGAGCAGACCGACCCTCCCTCCATTCCCGTCCGCCTGCTCTTCCCCAGCGGCGTCTACCCCGAGGGAGAATGGCAATCTTACAAGGAGGAGTGAGTTTGCGCTCGAGGTTGGCACGAGGTGCCTGTATCACCGTTTGTGATGGGACACAGCTTGGTGCAGGTCGTCCAATGAGGTTTGACCTCTCCGCGCAACAAAGTTTGGGGATACATGCCCATCTGGTATCCTTTCACATAGCGCTCACTGTTTCTGCGATCTCAGTGTTTGAGCAGCTTCCATGTTCCAACACCCCCACACCCATTGCCCAACAGCCAGCTGTGGCGCGAGACCAGCGAGGAGAAGCGGGCGCTGGAACGGCTGGAGAAGGATGTGATCAATGAGGTGCGCCAGGCGGCAGAGGTCCATCGCCAGGCAAGAAAGTACGTCCAGAGCATCGCCAAGCCCGGCATCCTCCTGTCCGACATGTGTGAGAAGCTGGAGAACTCTGGTGAGTGGGGATTCGATGGGGCTGTTAAAGGGTTTTGAGAGCGAGAATGGAGAGGGCAGGGGTACTGTTATTCTGTCGGGCCCATGTCCCCAACAATGCCGAGTTGAGGGAGTGAAAGTTGGAGGTTGTCTTCAAGGTGCAAGAGTCTCCTAGAGCAGACACTCTGCTCCTCTGTCGTCCAACGCTGGACCTCCAACCCTCACCCACCCACCCCTTCCTCCACACCAATCGACCCCCAGTGCGGCTGATGATCGAGGAGCGGGGCCTGGCGGCGGGCATCGCCTTCCCCACCGGCTGCTCCCTGAACCATGTGGCGGCGCACTACACCCCCAACGCCGGGGACAAGACGGTGCTGGGATACGACGACGTGATGAAGGTGGACTTTGGCACGCAGATCAACGGCCGCATCATCGACTGCGCCTTCACCGTGGCGCACAACCCGCGTTACGCGCCGCTGCTCGACGCGGTGCGCGCGGCCACCGACGCCGGCATCCGCGCCGCGGGCGTGGACGTCAGGCTCTGCGACATCGGCGCGGAGGTGCAGGAGGTCATGGAGTCGTACGAGGTGGAGCTGGACGGCCGCACCTTCCCCGTTCGCGCGGTGCGCAACCTGAACGGGCACAGCATCTCGCCCTACCGCATCCACGGCGGCAAGAGCGTGCCCATCGTTAAGGGCGGCGAGGCCACTCGCATGGAGGAGGGCGAGTTCTTCGCCATCGAGACCTTTGGCTCCACGGGCAAGGGCTACGTGCGCGAGGACCTGGAGGTCAGCCACTACATGAAGAACTTCGAGGTGGGCCACGTACCCCTGCGCCTGCCCCGCGCCAAGGCCCTCCTGGCCACCATCGACCGCAACTTTGGCACGCTGGCCTTCTGCAGACGGTGCGCAGGGTTTGGTGTGTGTATGGGGAAGGGGTCCACGATACTGGTGTCTGGAATCATGGGGTTTGTCCTCTGCAGCCCGAGATGCCACTCTCTCCTTTTCACACTGAAACATTCACCCCCCATCCACAACCACGAGCAGGTACCTGGACCGGCTTGGGGAGGAAAAGTACCTCATGGCGCTGAAGAACCTGTGCGACGCCGGGGTCATCGACCCTTACCCACCCCTGGTGGATAACAAGGGCTCATACGTCGCCCAGTACGAGCACACCATCTACCTGCACCCCACACGCAAAGAGGTGCTGTCGCGTGGCGACGACTACTGATCATTTGTGATTGGCTACAGTGGAGGTTGTGATGTCTCCAGCTTGCAAACTTTGAAAAGTTGGCTGGCTGCAAGATGTGGAGACGTGGGGTCTGCTGGGCGGAAGTAGCCCGTTTGCACATATTCCCGAGGCTGGATGCCCCCACTTGCTTGCTCCTCACTCAAGCTGCCGCTTTGTCCCAAGCAAAGCGTCATGCCTACTGTACAACAAGGTGTAGGGGAAATCACACAAGGGCACATCATGGAGTTATATAGAGCCTGGAGTAGACATTTTGGTGGATCTCAGCATTGGAAAAGGGAGCCGTTTCAGGCAGTGGCGAGGAGGTATCATGTCCCCTGTCTTCAGGGTGTCCCCCACCAGTTGCCCCAGCGGGGGCCCAGCCAGAGGTCAGTCCTTGGCCTCGGTCACGCCCTCCGGCCCGATGCCAAAGGTGGCATCCGCCTCCGGCAGGGACGGCGAGGCCATGATCTTGGCGATGCGCGTGTCCCCCCGCCCCTTCCTCAGCTGGATGCGGGTCGTGGAGGCGTGTGCCATGATGTTGCCGCCGATGGGCTTGACGGAGGGGCCCGCAAACATGCTGCCGCCATCCAGGTTGGCCTGGACCACCTGGTTGGTGATCACCACCCCCACCCCAAACTCGTCAGCCAGGCGCTGCAGGGAGCGCAGGAACCGACCCAGGTAGTTCTGGCGTGCCGCCAGCTCGCCGCGCCCCATGTACTCCGACCTGGCGACGAAGTTGGAGTGGCGGAGGAAGAGGTTGGCTGGTGGTATGCAAGGCGATGTACAAAGGGGGATGGTGTGACCCAGACTGCCCTGGGGATGGAGACGTTAGAACCAAGCCAAGGCTGCCAACCCAAAACCGGGGACCCGCACTCCATCACCCATATCTCGACCCTTCCAACAACAACAACCCAGGCGCGTGCCTGAAGAGCGCGGTGGCGCTGTCGACGATGACCACCGCGAACCGGCTCTCCGTCATCATCGCGGCGGCGGAGAGGAGCAGCGCCTGCTGATGCTCTGTGTTGTGTGCGCGCGCATATGCCACGTTGTCCAGCACATCCTGGGCATTCAGTCCATACCTGGATCAAGGAAAGGAGGAATAGGGTGGTGTATGAGATTGAGGCAGTGGTCTGGAGGGAGGGCATCTCATATTCATGTCACTATGACATTCAACATGGACAAGCAATGACACGTTGATGCTATACCTCATCGTTTGGTCACATCCCTGGAAAACAACCCCCACCCCCCGCTCACCTCTCTGCAATCTGGACGAGTCGCTGGGGTCTAAAGGTGCCCTCGGTGTCAATATAGAGGGCCTTGCCCTCACCGCCGCCCATGTCCACGGGCAGCTGGCAGGTGACGCAAAGGGTGTGGCACAGCTGGGTTTTGCCGCAGCGGAACTCGCCGTAGAGCTCAGTGATGGACCCCGTCTCCAGCCCGCCGCCCATGATCTCGTCTAGGGCCTTGGACCCGGTGGTGAGCTTGATGATCTCCCCACGCTGCTGCAGGATCTGGTTGGCCGTGGTGAAGCCGGTAGGAACATACTTGTGCGCTGCAGTAGAGGATGGACAGGAATCGGTGAGCGGTGCAAGGGGTTGCAAACTGTCAGAGACAGAGAGCGCAAGGAAGTCAGGCCTCCATAAACAGCATACAAAGACCATCGCATGCAGGCAGACGAAAGGTTGCATCCCCAATCATCCTCGCACCGATTTCCTTGATCTTGGCCACCTTGGCGTCGCTCATGCCCTTGATCTCACACAGCTCCCTCTTGCTCGCAAACGCCAGGCTCTCGATGGTGTTGATGCCTCCCTCCTTGAGCTTCTTGATGTCCACCGCGGCGACGCCCAGCTCCTGATATAGAGGTGCCATGTCCGGAGTGAGAGCAAGATCCCGAAGCCCTGGAAATTACACCACAAGCAAGGGCAGGCACCCAAGCACAATGTGCACCACTCAATCCCAGCCAGTCACTCACCTGGAGCGACTCGATGGGGTAAGGGCCCGAGTTTTCATCGTTCTCAACTTCCTGCACTGCTTCTGCGGGGCGTTCTGCTTGCATGATGCTCGAATGTGGGGCGGGGGTGCGGGGAGCAGGGGTGTGATGTCGGCGAGCGTCGGCAGGGGATGCTCAGCGATGGCCTGTGACGCGCTCTGACGCCGTTGTATAACTAAACGATGAAGTTTAATGATCAAGTAGACTCTCATTCACTGTAAGGGGGAGCCCATGAGAGCTTTCGACATCTGTCATGCTGCGACATGCTCTGCATTCGGAACTTTCAAGGCACCCCCGGGCACAGCACGCTCGCGCCCCCAGGCATTGACCACTCATGGATGGGTTTGGTGGCATGCACCTGTTCTCGAGAGACAGGGCACATCGTAATGGAGCCATCAATACTGATTGAGTATATCATGTCCTTCAAGACCACGTTCCAATGCTAGAATTGGAGCACGAGACGCACACCTCGCCGTCCTCCGCTCACCAGGAGGTGGTGTCCGATGAGGACACGATGTGCGCATCGCCGGGATATCACACACCAGATTCGAGCTCAGAGATCAAGATATACATTCAAACCTCGAGATATGCCGTCGGTGCGTAGTAAGTGCACAGGCATGCAGAACACCATGGTGTTAACATTCATGACTCATGCCCGCTAAATCGGACACGCAGTCGGCCATGCGGTGGCGGCACTGGGCTGGAAGCAATGCAGGACGCTTTCTGATGCAGACATGGTGTGGAATGACACTCCCGGAAATCGTCGCGTGCAGAGCTCGGGCAGCAAGCCCCAGGTGAGGAGGAGGGTAGCAGTAGTCTTCAATTGACATCCATCCGTTGTGAACCTCCAATGTAATGCTTGGATCAGTATAGGCGTCTCCCTCTCATCTACGTCACACGATTCACCAGAATTGGACATGCCCATGCCCTCTCAACACTCTCACATTCCCTCCCCCGCAGTGTAGCAACCACCTGCCCGGCATGGCCGAGCTGACGCGAAAGAAGGGGCTGGCGCGCAACCTGGCCAGGCTCGCCCAGGTCATGCCGGAGCGATACGACTTCATGCCGCGCACCCTGCTGCTTCCAGAGCAGCTGCCGGCCCTGCTGGCGGCGCTGGACGAAAACGAGCGGCCGGGGCGCAGCGCCCCGCTTTCCACTTTCATCCTGAAGCCGGACGCCGGCAGCCAGGGGCGGGGCATCCTGCTGGCGCAGCGCCGCGCCGACCTGGAGGCCTGGTGCCCCGAGGGCGGCGGCGTGCCCGCCGGGGTGGCCTCACGCTACATCGAGCGCCCGCTGCTGCTCGGGGACAGCAAGTTTGACCTGCGCCTCTACGTCCTGGTCCTGGGCACCGCACCCCTCGACGTCAGCATCTTCACAGAGGTGTGTTTTATAGGCAGGGGGCAGGGGGGTGGAAGGTTGCAGAGTGGGGAGGAAAGCTGTGATGGGTGGCGGAGGATTTCGATAGGGGAATGAGGGTGTGCCTGGCATGCTGCAGCTTTTCGGACGGCAGTTCAATATCCAAGCTGTGTTGGTGGGCCGGATCTGTCGTGATTAGCCGCTCCTCACATGAGCTGCAATGTCCTCGAGCCTGTGTCACTCTCCCAAAAGACCCTCCTTCCGCCAGCACGCCACCTTCATTGCCTGCGTGCCTGCTGATTCCATGTTCATGCCCCCTACCTGCCCAAACCATGGGCAAACAACGGACCCCTCACCCTCGCAGGGCCTGGTGAGGCGGTGCACGCAGACCTACGCCCCCCCCACCGCCGCGCAGCCTGGGCCAGGACACCGCCCACCTCACCAACTGGGCGGTCAACCGCGCGCGCGCGCTGGCGGGGTCCGGCGCGGCCGGCGGCGGCGCCTTCAAGTGGACGCTGCGCACGCTGCGCGACTGGATGTCCAGCCGCGGCCTGGACTGGGGGGCGCTGTGGGGCCGCGTGCGCGACCTGGTCGCGCTGAGCCTGCTGGCGGTGGCGCCGGGGCTGGCCTGCGCGGCGCGGCCGCGCCCGGGCGCCGCGCCCGCCTATGAGCTGCTGGGCTACGACGTGCTGGTGGACGCCCGGCTCAAGCCCTGGCTGCTGGAGGTGAACGCCTCACCCTCCCTCTGCCTGGACACGGCGGCGGACGCGGAGGTGAAGCGGCCCCTGGTGGCGGCTGCGCTGGCCGCCGCAGCGCGCGCTGCCGGGCTGCTGGGGGTGGAGGGGGAGGATGCAGGGCGGCGAGGGAGCGCGGCGGGCGAGACCACGCGGCTCCGGGACCCGCGGCAGGAGCACGCGGGGCAGGATGGCGGGCCGCGCTTCGAGCGCATCCTGCCCACACCAGACGATGGAGGCAGTGCGGGCTACGGGGCGGTGCTGGCGGCCAGCGCCGCGTCCTTCCTGTCCGGCACGGCGCAGGGGCGGCTGGAGCGCAGCCTGGCCGGGATGCAGGCGCGGCGCCAGGCGGCGGAGCGGGAGCGGGAGGCCCGCGCCTCCGCCCAGGCGCGCAAGGTCGCGGCGCTGAAGGCGTGGATTGCGCGGGAGTGCGCGCGGCAGAGGGAGGCCAGGGTGCCGGGGGGCGGGGATGGCGGCGATCATCGGTCTGGCGGTGGGGAATGGGCGGCGGCTGCAGAGCCCGGCTTGTCATGTTCCTCCGGGGGCGAGCCGTCGGCGGAGGGAGAGCCCTGCGCGAGTCATCGCAGTCCTGCTCTTGCTGAGCTGGAGGTACCTCTGATGGACCATGCACCGGACGACGGAGACGCAGGGCCTGCGCTGGCAGCCACGTATGGGCTTCAACCACCTGACTCCACGAGGGCTGGGTCGACGTCAGTCGTGTCAGAGCCATCTTCAGGAGAAGAAGGAGGCATAGGATTCTCCCACCCTGGCATCACGCCACAGGAAGATGAAAAGGCTGAGAACACAGCTGGCCCAGGCATCGCAGCACTCGCCGATGAGGCACCTGGAAGCCCTGCGGCATGGCCCCTCTCGCCTCGACGGGCTGCGGAGGAGCTGGTGCCGCCGGCACAGGCACCAGTGTCGGCGACACCAGGTGTCCTTCAAACACCGGCCGGCAGTCAGCTGCACTCATGCAGCGCCGAGTGCAGCGCCGCATGCCTGCAAGAGGGGGAGGCCCGCCCCGAGCTCAGCCTGGTGTCCAGCGTGGACAGCCTGGTGTTCCCGGAAGCTTCCATGTGCAGCAGGGAATCCGGCGCGGCGCAGGGCACCGGCAGACTTCGAGGGAAGAGGCAGGCCACACCGGCTCCGCTTAGTCCCGGGGGCGTGTGCTGGGTGAGAGTACCCAGGCTGTGTGCCCAAGCCGACTGTGGCATCGCGAGGGAGCCCATGCTGGAGGTGCCGGCACCGCCACCTGCCCTGGAAGCCCCATCAGCCTTCCAAAAGCAACTCAAGGTCAGTGCTCTACACGCTCCCCTCAGCCTCACCGGCTCTGCAGTGAGTTTCGAAGCGCGGCCCCAGCGGTTCCAGCTCCTCAACATGTGGCACCAGCAGCGGGTGTGAGCAGGAGGGCACACCGGCTGTACCGTCCAGGTGTCTGCAATGGACTGCTCTGACTGCAAACTTTATTGTAAAACATTACGGCATACTCGTCCCTGGTCGCTTCAACCGAGGCAAGGTCGTACAGCTTCCTCCTGCCTGAGCACAGATCGGTTGTGATGTTCGGAAGCATCAGGAGTTCTTGGGGCAAAGATCCTCGAGGAAGAAATTGTGCGGCTCCCAGGATCTAACCCTCACCAGAGGCGACATGGCTGTACAACAGCCATATACTCCCTTTGTAAGTGGATTACGTGTACACCATCATAATATAGTCAGGTTTCCACCGTTTCAGGATCTCGGAGGCGGAGCATCTGCCCTGAAGCGGGGCGAGGGTAGTTGGGACGCCCTCACGCACGCCGCTCCCCAAGGTACTAATCTGTTCATCCGATGACTGTTCACGAGCGCTCATCGGAAGTGTATGTGCATTATATGCTCCAGTGAACCAGCCCAACAGACCTTGTGCACGTTGTACGACGGCAGCATCTTCCTCGCCCGCCATCCCTAGCAGGTTTCGGACGGATTACTACACCCAGGCGTAAACTCACATAACAAGTACCCTCGACGACCATGCCATCCGCCACTGGAAACGGAAGTCACGCGACCATTTCCGAGGTCGATGCTCCTTCAGATACGCTGATCGCTCAGGCAGGCACGGAGCTTGAGCATGGCAACGACGACGGCAAGGCCAGTACGCAATATCTCGAAGGTACTGTTACACGATATCTGGGCTGTGTAGAAGGGTGGGGCTCTGAGGATGTGCATCTGATGGCCTTTGCACCTGGTCCATTATTCCCTTGGCAGCAAGTGAACAGGTATACTGAAACAGCAGGCCCTCACCTCCTGATCTATTCATGCTGATGCTCTGAAGTCGTCCCAGACATACTGCGTGCAGGAGAGTACGTGCTGCTGCAGTTCAACCCTCGTGATGTGCAGCCATCGATTGGGCAGCTGTACAGCTTCCAACCCGGCGGCGCGGAGGGCGAGCCCATGAAGGTCATGGCTCGATGCTTTTTCAGGCAGGTGGCGGACCTATGACAGGAAGATAGTTGGTCGGGAAGCAGGATGTCTTTGTCAAATTGTCAGTGTGACAGAGTGGTGTGCACCTCCTTCCATGCAGGCCCACTGAGTTGAGCGGTGGGACCCACGTCCCTGATCTGGCACGCGGCGAGGTTTTCTTCTCAGAAAAGTTTGCGCTGTGCCCTCTTGATTCAGGCAAGTACTTTTCAGGGTGCATTAGCAGGTTAAAGATTTCGATTTCAGGCTCAGGATCTCGAATGTCCAGCCTTCAACCTATTTGGCCCGTGCTGCGCAGTCAAGGGACGCTGCAAAGTCTTTGATGCCACCGGCGAGGTCGATCAGAATTTGCCAATTGGCGAAAATGAATTCGTGTGCCGCAGGGAGTACCTGTCTGCCAGACAGTGAGTTTACCGAGTTGGCAAGGGAGGCAAGGTGGTCAGCTTCAGTTTTCACCAAGAGACTTCTAATTGTTCAACATACAGAAGGGCATGCCCACACTTGCATGCTTCTCCATTATGAGAATCCTGCTGCGCCCTAGTCGATCAAGTCCTGACAGCCACTGCTCACCCTCCTTGCAGGCTCCTCATCCCTCTGGATGCCGAGAAGGCAGGGAAGCTGGACCAGCGTCCTGTGCAGGTGCTGACTGATGCTCAGCCAGTTGAGACAACGGTCCATGCCACCAAGAAGAGGCGTGGGAATGAGGTGAGCGTTAGTGGGGAGACCCGTATGCTGCTGGTGTATGCCAAGCCTCTATTCTTCTCTTGTAGGGAGGGTGTTGCTGTGTGCACCTTTGCTCTGCTGCCGCAAAACTGAGGATAGAGTAGCTGAAGGATGCCAACGCACCATCAGTACTCGACTTGCAAGCTCTGTCACCAAGGGTGACCCAAACCTCGGCCCATGTCCACCTCCCCTCTCCAGGTGTCCAACGCCGGCTCCAAGGCCGGCAGCGAGCGGAGCCCAACCGCGTCCTCCGAACAGGCGAGCCACCGGTCGTCCGAGGACGTGCCCACCCCCACCCAGCAGCCCACGCCCTCAGCTTCGGTCCTGAGCGACCTGGGCACCGGCGACAGCGGGACGCCGCGCTCCCGCCCCGGCGCCCCCGCCGGCGAGCGCGACACCGGGCGCTGGTCGCGGCGGCGCTACGAGGCCGCGCTGGCCGCGCTGACGGGCGTGCTGCAGCGCCTGGGCGCGCTGACTCCCGTGGCCGCGGTGCTGCGCCCGGTACTGCGCGACGCGGCGCGCCGTGTCATCGGCGACACGGGCCTGCTGGACCACCTGCTCAAGCACCAGGCGGACCGGGTGGTGGGGCCAAGGGCGCAGCGCCTGCGCCGCCGGCACAACCACGAGGGGCACATGGAGTACTGGCTGCAGTCGCCCGAGGCCGCCACGGCCGAGGACGCGCTGCTGCGCAAGGAGGTCACCGCGCTGACCAGCGAACTGCGCGACGTCAAGGAGGTGCGCCACGCTCTGCACGCTGTGCGCGCCGAGGCGGCCCAGGTGCTGCACGAGGTGTCCACCGGCAGCGCGCTGGAGGAAGGCACGGGACAGGCTGCGGGTGGAGGTGGCGGCAACGGCGGCGGAGGAAGAGGGGTGCAGGGCGAGAGCGTCGGCAACCACAGCGGGAAGGGCTCGCGGGTGGTTGGCGCAGATATAGGGGTGATGCAACGCCAGTTTGCCGAGATCAGCAAGCGCATCGCTAGTACGGACAGCGTCCTTGAGAGGGTTTTAAAGGCAGCCCAGGACGAACAGGACCAGCGGGCATCCATGACGCAGCTTTTCTCTTCGCATATGAAAGGAACGCTGGACATGATGGAAGACCATGCAGAAAGGTATGTATGTTGTTACGAGAGAACTTCTTTGTGGGGAACTGGCATGGATGAGCTTGTCCTCGAAGCTTTGTTGTTGAGAGAGCTGGGTTTTGTTGGCATGGAAGTATGATTGGAGCAGGATACCGACATTGGTTCCTGCTGATATGTTATTACGGCCCCTTCCCTGCTCCGCCCACCTCTCAGCCCTCCCGCCCTGCACTCTCTATCTTGCAGACAACTGGAGCTGGAGAACCAGGTGGCTCAGCTGAGGGAGGAGGGTGCTGGGCGACTGGAGGCACTTTCCGCCGCGGCCCAGGACAATGCTGGGCTCAGGTATGCTGCTATTCACGGGGTGATGATCAACTCATGGCTCACAGCTGGCCTTCCTTAGAAGCGCACTAGGTTCTGTGGTAATTTCATTACCCCTAATCATCCTTGATTTCTGACTCCCCGTGTAGGGCCCAAGTCGAGACATCAGATGCTCGGCTCCGTGTCATGGAGCATAGCATGCTCACCTTGCTTGGAAGGTTTGAGTGTAAGTGTTGAGAATATGGTTTTAAACCTCGGGCAAGGGTACCGTGGCTCTCGATCTGTTTTGAGATTGTTTGCCCCTGTCTGAGTCCCAACCTGTCAGAAAGCATAAAAATCTCAGTCGAACTCACATTACTGCCCTCCCTTCCCATCGCAGCCCTGCAAAACTTGCTGCAAGACCTGCCCCGTCTGACAGCCCAGGCTGCTGCCAACCAGGCAGCGAGTGGCTCCAGGGCAAGGGATGCTTCACCCCATCCCGACTACAACACATCGTCAGTCAAGCAGCCTCGCGTCCTGCGCCTGCAGCCTCAACAGGGTCTGATGCCAGAGGAGCAGAAGGCTGGGGTGAGGAAGGGTGAATTGCTTGGTGGAGTTGCCTTGGTTCAAAGGGTTTGGCCCAGTGTGCAGTGTGAGTGTGACGAACACTTTGATGCCAGTCTCACCACCTGCTTCTGTGCCACGTACCAAGCATGCCTCCCTTCCCTCCCCACCACTCACAGCCATCTCTGCCGGCCCTGGGTCACCCCAACAAAATCAAAGACCTGTCCCAGCTGACGCATGAGGCCCTGAACGTCTGGAACACCCTGAAGTTCCAGCCAGACACCACGCCCATCATCGTCGGGCACGCCTCGCGCCAAACCGGTCCAGGGGCGCCTGGCAATACCGACGGGGCCTCCGAGGAGGAGCTGGCGCAGCTGACGCCGGAGGCCCGTGCGATCTGGGACCAGCTGCACCGCGCCCGACCCCGCGCACCTGCCCCGCCTGCACCGGCAGTTGACCCTCCGGCGGCAGGAGCCCCGCCGCCGCCGCCGCCGCCACCCAGCACCCATCCTGAGCAGAACGTCGGGGTCAGGGGAATTCCTTCTCGCCAGGTCGGTAGTTGAATTATCAGAGAGCTGGCATGTGCTGAGGTGCAAGCATTGTCAATGACCATGCATGATCGAGGATCCATCTGAATCCAGTTTCAAGTCATCTGGTCATATTACGTCAGGTCTGTGATATCACAACGTTTGATCATGCACACATTCCTTTTTTCACCTCCCAACACAGGCCCCTGAAATCCCGCCTGGGGAGCAAGTCCAGGACCTGGCCATGATGCATCGCTTCCTCACCCAGGTGATGGTCGATTAGAGCTGAAACTTTCTTTGTTTTCTTGTGACGCACCGTGCGAGGGTCACTATGGGTACGTACGCCAGACGTTATGGATAAATCCCATGCAACATTCCCCTGGTTGGGGAATTCACCATTTAAATGGTTCAACATAACATTGCACCATCCCACACGTGAACATGCACAGGACCCTGTGCTCCGTGAGGCATACATGTCCCACACTTCGCGAGCGCCAACAGAAGGTCCCTCCCTCGGTCTGGCCTTCTTTCCTCAGCTAAGAGATGTGCGCGGAGCAGTGAGGACACGTGTGGCTAGTTCTTCAGATTTTAAGCTGGAGAGTGCTTTGTCATTATATTTCTTGCAGGCTTGAGTGGGTTCAGGTTTCAGTTTGGAGGGCATCTTACGTGTGCTCTGTATCTGTTGCCTGTCGAATCCTCACCACGGTTTAAGCTCATATCTCTGCACCCCTGATCCCACTGATTCAAATTACTGTCCTTGACAGGGCCCGCCACCTGGGTCAGCAGCTGCTGATGCTCCAGATGGCTCCCCTGCGTTCGCCGACTCCAGTGCCTTCCCAAGGCTGGCCCCCCATGCCGCAGGCTTGCCATTCCCCTCACTACCACAGCAGCCTGCTCCTCGCCGCAGGCGCGACTCGTCACCTGATGGGTCCATGAAGCACCCACGCCGAGATGACTCACCCAAACCCCCACCTGACCGTGCACCCTGACACCAATGGGACAGGGTGTCATGCTCTCCGAGACTCGCACATTGACCACCGCATTGCGTTTGCTGATTCTTCCCTGAGCATGATCAGATTCCCAATCCCCTTGAGCTGCTACTCAGCTTGTGTCTCTACCGTTTCAGCGCATGTGCTGTTGCCGTGATGCACCATGGTCATGGCTTGCCGCAGACGAGGGCACCACGAGTGGTCGTTTTGCGCCAGCCCATTTTCGTCCAGGGCCACTCTGTGTGCCCCGTGCATTCTTGATTGCATACACAGCCTCTTGTCAATACCAGGAACCCTGTGCACCTTGGTCTTTCCACTGTAGATCGTCTCGAACGCACTGTTCCCTTACCAATCCCTTGTGCTGATTTCACCGTAGCCCGCTATGCGTGCCGCGTGCAGGAAAGTGCTCAGGTCACTCTTTCTTATTCAACATCAACTCAGGCCTCGCCCTTTCGAAGGCATGCATCGTACGTGTCAGTATGTTACAAACCTAGTCAGGCACACAGTGCAGAGGATCAGCAATGAAAGTCATTGCTCCTGTATGAGGAGCTCTGACAGACTCCAGTCTTCGTAGGTGTTGTCGGGCAGGTAACGCCTGATGGTGAAGGGAATCTTCTTTTCCCGCAGCTCCTTGTATGCAATTTCCAAAGGATCTGTGATGGGGGGGGGGGGGATGCTGTGATTAGGGTGAGGAGTGGCGGTTGAAAATGGTTGGGTTTATCTTCTGCATCTTTGCCACCCACAGTCATGTCTGCATGTTGGGTGCTGATGGTCCCCCAAGCCTCGGCAGACGGCGCAGATGATGGCAGATCGAAGGGCCATCAGGTACGACCCGCTACATCACAACAAATGGTGATAAAGCCACGATTCAGGCAACACCTGCTCAAACACCCATCCCCAACCAACGCGACCCACCTGATTCCGTGCCGACATCCACCATGACTGGTGCGTTCAAGGAGATTTGCAGCGCCCGAGTGCCCAGTACCCTGGCACGCTCATACTTGGTGAGGTACTGCGTTGTTATCCGAGGATCCTGTGAGGCCACAGGCGTCCTTGGAGACTCCACGAACCTTGAGTCGAAGCTTTCTGGGATGGAAACTATGTGGAGGAGGGAAGTGAGCATCAGGGTCTTGAGTGCCGGATTCTCAAAGCACAGAGTCTGTTGACATCTCAATCTATAAGCCCCAGTGTGACACTCCGAGGCTCACAAGGAGTGGAGGCTGTGCCCTCGGTCCCCTCCGTGCCATCTTCCGAGGCCCACGGGTCCGGCTCGGTAGGGTCGACGTAAAAAGGGTCTAGATCAATGGGGCCCAGCTCTTCCTCCTCAATTAGGCTGGGAGGGGCAGGGAAGTGGGGGAAATGGTTTGCGAGCACCGTCGCAACGACACAGCTGTGTGGGAGAAGCTACGTTCATTCAAGCTCATTGTCAGAACTACAGTGGATCTCAAATACCTTTCAAAATTCTCGGCCCCAATATCCCCCTCGCCCTCCATAAATGTAGCTGCCGCACTCCCGCCCCGTTCTTATTCGGTGTTTGACCACAGGCTTGCAGAGCGATAAGGCTATCCGGAGTGAAAGGACTATTCAGAAACACAGATTCACCAGTCCCAAGGGCATTGCGCGGCGTCTTTGCGCCCTGCAGCCCTGCTGCTCATGCGTGAAGGGGGGTGGGGGGTACCGCGCCAGGGTGCTCGGGTACCGCAGGCCTTCCCCCTCCTCACCCGAGCCGAGAGTGCTTGGGTCGGCCCCGACCATCCTTCCCCCATCAAGGCACGCATGTTGGCGACACTGCGATTGGGCCTGGCTCCTAGTCGCTGCCAGATCTCCTGCCTGCCGATCATCGTACAGCGCGCACCCCGCCCCCGCTCTCGGCTCACCTGCCTCGCGACCATGCCCTCCCCCACCGACTGGCCGGGATCGGTCGTGCGGTCCACCTTCATCGACTTTTTCAAGTCCAAGGGCCACACTTTCAACCCCTCCAGCCCTGTCGTGCCTGTGAACGACCCCACCCTGCTCTTCTCCAATGCGGGCATGAACCAGTACAAGCCCATTTTCTTGGGCACCGTGGACCCCGCCTCGGACCTGGGAAAGCTCAAGCGCGCCACAAATGCCCAGAAGGTACGTTGTGTGCTTGTGATGCTGAGGATCATGGACGGCGGGAGGCGTGCGAGACGGGTTAAGTGCTTGACTGGTTGGGGTTTGCTGAAGGGCCTGGTTGTTCAGAGACTCACCAGAGGCAAGACCACCCCACCCTGTACCCCTCCGCAGTGCATCCGTGCCGGCGGCAAGCATAACGATCTGGACGATGTGGGCAAGGATGTGTACCACCACACCTTTTTCGAGATGCTGGGCAATTGGTCCTTTGGCGACTACTTCAAGAAGGAGGCCATCGGCTGGGCCTGGGAGCTCCTAACCAAGGTCAGTGTGGGGGAGGGACAAGGGTTATTAGCTTGTATCACCAGGACAGGACATGCTGATGGCTGCAAAGGTGTCCTGGAAGTCAGTGTTATTCCTTGGATCCTGTGCCCTGCGATTGAGTTTTGTTGTGACACGTTCTCCTGACGCTGCACTGTCTCAACCCTCCCACCCCTCGACCTGCAGGTGTACAGTCTGCCTGCTGACCGCCTGTACGCCACCTACTTTGGCGGCGACGAGCGCCAGGGACTGCCTCCCGACCATGAGGCCCGTGACATCTGGTGAGCATGAAATTTGAAATGTCAGGAGGAGGAGAGGTTTCTGAGCTCTTGCTACTCAAAGTCCTGGGCTTGGAACAGACCATGACTTCAAGTGTCTGTGTTTGGTTCTTAGTTCCTGCTTTGGATCGGCTTGTTGCTTGGTGCCCCTGTCTTGACGAAGATCTGTCAACCACACACCAGAAGCACTCCCTCCCTCCTCAACACCACCCTCCCCGCCTGCAGGCTGCAGTTCCTGCCTGCCAACCGCGTGCTGCCCTTCGGCACCAAGGACAACTTCTGGGAGATGGGCGACCAGGGCCCCTGTGGTCCCTGCACCGAGATCCACTTTGACCGCATCGGCGGCCGCGAGGTGCCCGACCTCGTCAACATGGGTGGGTGGTTTGGGGTTATGTACATGTACATGGGTGACACAATGCTCAAAACTTCCCTCAATTCCAACTATAGGACCAGCACTTCTCACAATCACCTCCCCCCCCCCCCTACTCTCAAAGACGACCCCAATGTGCTGGAGGTGTGGAACCTGGTGTTCATCCAGTTCAACCGCGAGCCCGACAGCAGCCTGATCAGCCTGCCCGCGCAGCACGTTGACACGGGCGCGGGGCTGGAGCGCATCACCTCGGTGCTCCAGGGTCAGATGAGCAACTACGCCACTGACCTGTTTGCGCCCATCTTCGCCGCCATCCAGGCGGCCACGGGCCACGCCGAGCCCTACACCGACCGCGTCGGGGCTGATGATGTCGGCAACAAGGACATGGCCTACCGCGTGGTGGCGGACCACATCCGCACCCTCTGCTTCGCCATCGCCGACGGCGCGCGGCCTGGAAACGAGGGCCGTGACTACGTCCTGCGCCGCGTCCTGCGTCGCGCGGTGAGGTCCTTTGGGTGGAGGGAGGGGCAGGATGCCCGATTCTGCCGGGTATCGCTGCGGGAGGAAGCTGCGTTCCAGGGACCGCCTTCCCTCGAGCACCTGCCGCGGGCATCTATGGATGCCCCAAGGTCTCACTCCACAGCTCAAGCTCAGTGCACCGCATCCTCATCCCTCTCTTCGACACACCGACATGACCAGGTGCGGTACGGGCGCGAGGTGCTGGGCGGCCCCCAGGGCTTTTTCTCCACGCTGGTGCCGTCCGTGATCGACTCCATGGGCGAGGCCTACCCCGAGCTGGAGCGGGCGCGGGGGACCATCACCGAGGTCATCCGCGACGAGGAGACCTCCTTCTCCCGCACCCTGGTCAAGGGCATCGAGCGCTTCAAGAAGGCGGCGGCCGAGGCACAGGACGGCGTGGTGTCCGGCCCCGATGCCTTCCTGCTCTGGGACACCTTTGGCTTCCCCGTGGACCTCACCGAGCTCATGGCCGAGGAGGCAGGCCTGCGGGTCGACAAGCCCGGCTTCGAGGCCGCCATGGAGGAGGCCAAGGAGAAGGCGCGAGCAGGTGAGCGAGTTTATGTATTTTTTGGGGGGGGTGTGGAGGGGGGAAGGGGGGGGGGGGGGTTGAGATCTTCTGGATATAAAGAGAGCTGTTGTAAGACCCAACATGGCGGGCAGTGGCAGGCCCCAGCATAAGTCCCCAACCTAGGATACGCAATGTAGGATTCCACACCCTTTACCCATCCCACACAATATCCCTTGGCCGCCTCCATCCCCGTGTGCATGGACCCTTCACAGACCCCACCTCTTCCACCCTTTCCTCAAACCCGCTCCAGCATCCAAGAAGGGCGCGCGGGAGGGCCTGCGCTTCGAGGCGGAGGCCACCGGCTACCTGCAGAAGAACGAGGTCCGCACCACGCTGGACGGCGCCAAGTACTCCGAGGAGCCCGTGGACACCTGGGTGCTGGCCATCCTGACCAAGCAGGGCTTCGTGGAGAGCAGCGCAGGGGTGGAGGAGGGCCCGCTGGGCCTGGTGCTGGGCTCAACCGGCTTCTACGCGGAGCAGGGCGGCCAGGTGGCAGACACCGGTGTGATCACGGCCGGCGCCGCCAGATTTGCCGTTTCGAGCGCCCAGGTGAAGATGGAGAAGGGAAGGAGATGGGGGTTGGGAGATTGGTGGGCGTCCAGGGTTCAATGCTGAATGCCACCTTGCCCCCTGATGGATTCATGTGATCGTTCGAATTTGCTGTCGCTGGTGACAGTGCGTCCCTTGCTCCAACTAGCCCTTTTCTCAAGCGCTGTGCCCATTTCACCTCAGCTGATTTTCTCAATCTTGAAACCCCACGGAGAAATTCCCCCTTCCTGCCCCCACTCCCTGTGCAGGTGGCGGCAGGGTATGTGCTGCATTTGGGCGACCTCGAGTCCGGGGAGATCAAGGTCGGCGATGCCGTCACCGCCAGGTGCTGCCAGGCGGGAGGGGTGGGGTGGTTCAGCATTTGATGTCCAAATTGGATGATGTATCATCAGAGAAGCTCCCAGGTGCGGTGCTCTCAGCACCTCTTTACGGAGCGCCCTGGCACCCCTTTGTGTCCCAACTCCAACCTCAATGCTCTGCAAATCACACAGCATCGACGTGGAGCGTCGCCGGCGCATCATGCCCAACCACACCTACACCCACGTATTGAACTGGGCGCTGCGCGAGGTGAGTCAGCGGGGTTTGAACGAAGAAACAAAGGCTTGGCGGCTCCTGCATGCGGCACCCCTCGACACCTATGTTGGCTGAGCACGCCCCATCCCCAGACACACATAGAGTCATACTCACTCCTCCTTCCCTGACACCCCACCCCCCTTTTCTTCCCCTACACAGCACCTGGGCGACCACGTGGACCAGAAGGGGTCCATCGTGCAGCCCGACCGCCTGCGCTTCGACTTCTCCAACAACGGCCCGGTGGCCCCCGAGGCTCTGGCCGCCATCGAGGCCACCACGCGGTCCTACATCGCGCGTGACGAGCGCGTATATGCCCAGGAGGTGCCCCTGGCCCAGGCCAAAGGCATCCACGGCCTGCGCGCCATGTTCGGCGAGGCCTACCCCGACCCGGTGCGTGTCGTGTCCATCGGGCGCAGCGTGGAGGAGCTGCTGGCCGACCCGGGCGCGGAGGGCAACCGCGCGTACTCGGTCGAGTTCTGTGGCGGCACGCACCTGGCCTCCACCGCCGGCGCGCGCGCCTTTGCGCTGCTCAGCGAGGAGGGCATTGCCAAGGGCGTGCGGCGCATCGTGGCCGTGACGGGGAGCGAGGCTGAGGAGGCCGCAGAGACGGCCGAGGCGCTGGCCGCCGAGATCCGGGGGCTCCGAGGGTCTTTCGTCCCTGGACGACCTTGCCGCCAAGATCAAGACCCTGACCGTGGTGAGTTTGAGAGTTTGGGCGCTTGGCTTGTTGAAGGGAGGGGTCGTATAACT